ATTGCTAACAGCGGAGCTATCTCAGTCAAAAGGATGCTTGTTGTAAATTATCATCATAACCTGAATTTTCAAAAATGAATTGGATGGAGGTATATACATAGCAACTTTGAAATGATGTAGACATATCTACATATACATATATTCTGCTTTTACATGCACGCTGTCATTTCCCATGTCAATTTTGATTGACACATATTTGTCTGTTAATGTATTTTTTTGTATTTATCAGATTTATCAGATAAAGTTATACAAGTTTGATACGCATGTATGGTGATATGCAGTGGATGGTCCAATGTCACATGTGCATTGAATGGTAGCATTGAATACAGTAGATGTTGGGTCATGTTCAATTGCATGAGTAAGATTATTGCTGCATTCAAAAAACCTTAACCCACATAATACATGCTTGGTCAATAAGGACTCTAGCCTAAGTTCTTTCACAGACTTGCGTATAACATTATACCAGTTTCTGGTCAGCTTAAGTGGGCAAAACGTTTTTTCTCTCTTACTTTGCCACTACATGCATCAGTGCATGTGATTACCTCACAATTCATACTTTCAAATTTGGATCGTCATCACATTTACCAGTTGTACACCCGAATCTTTCAAATTAAATAGATATTATACTGTTATCTAAAATTTAGAAATTTGCATGAACTGGAATGTTTTAACAATTTTGTAAAAGACTTTAAATTGTGATTATAAAAATGACAATTGATTAAACACTTCTAAATTATTTGTAACTGTAAATCAAAAATCATTTTATGTGTGAGACAAGAGTTCATGATAATTATTGCATATACAAATAAATAACTATGACTTTTAATAATTTATTATTGCTTGGGTAAAAAAAAAATGTTTTGCTTCTTGTCCTAGAGAAAAATTTGGTGCACCATACTCAATACTGCAAAAAAAATGCACAGGGTGATTCACGTGATGAGAAGCAAACACATTTTTTTTTTGTCTTTCATGTGTACAGCTTATCTGACTGTTGTGTATTTGAGACAGTTATTAGTATTGCTTTCAACCCAAAATTGCTTTAGAATTAAAAATGTTTTTTCTTCAAAAGTATGTATTAACTTTCCCTAGATTAATATTATTA